ATCATCTTATATGTCCCTATTTTGATTATTAAGATTGCATCACATGTCGTATTCATAACAATGTCTGTGGCTGAAAGATGAAAGGTGTTCTATCCATTTTATTCATTTTTTAATGCATTTTCTACACTTTGAATTTACATTAAACTAACCAATACTCAATGTTAGTTCACTCATTTGCATCACACCCTGTTTTTTCACATGATCAACAACTAAATCTCAGGAAAAAGTATTTATTTGCTCACTGAAACCCTAAAACCCACACATTAAGTAAGACATAAGCAACATTGATAACAAATAATAAAATGACTTTCTCTGAGTTACAGCAAAAGCAGAAGTAGAAGTCACAGGATAATAAGTTTGAGATGTTGAAATATTTTGGGCTCTGAGGCAAGAAAAGGTGCAAGTCAGCCTGAAACGGCGTCTCATGCGTGTCAAGTGAAACATTTGGCATAACATTTCATAAAATTTTAGAGTCAATAACACAATAGTTTATATGTAGTTGTGGGAAGTTAACCTTGAACTGACTAATCTTTTAATAATTACATGGATCATTAATCAACTTTAAAAAACATTCTGGTCCCTTAAATATTTATTTTTTGGGATTATTTAAGCAGCGCCATCTAGTGAGAATCCTCTTCCCTGCAACTGCTATTTTAGAGAGTTAATTTTCAACTAACTTATCTATAAAATACCCACAAGTTGTGAAAGACAGATGTTACGATTCCACAAGCTGTTGTAATATTAAAAAGGAAAACAGAATTTCTACAGCTGATGTGTCCCAAAACCTACTCATTACATCAAAAAGAGTCTGGTAAGCATCAATAGGATGAACTACATGAATTATAATTGAAATGAGAATCATGCCGAGGCTAAATTTTATAATAATGTGATTACTACAATGGCCATGATAAAATATACTTCCTTCTTTCTTTTTATTGTCTGCCATAAAGATCATAAGGGGGTTCTAGCCAGTGCCCCTGTAGAACAGGCCACACCCCCTGTTAGGGCACATATACTTAAAACACACACCAGAAAAATTTAAATCTAAGTCAATTTTTTTTTTACGTAACTAATTGTTCCTTGATTTGAGCAGATGGGTGAGAGGATTTGCCATAGGAAGCGAAAACCTTAACATGTTTTTTCCAGTGCATCATATCTACCTTTATTATTACAAAAGCAGAAATACTCCTTCCTTTAGCTGATCATCTTATTTACCTGCTGGAATTAAGGGTAAAAGTACTTATCTTAAGAAATCTTTATTTATTCAGATCAGCTGTTGCAGCATACTTTTAAAACAATTTCTTACTTGCATCCAAAACAAAAAGGAACTGATTTGTCCCCTAGACCAATAAAACATTTTTGCCATTACAATTTATTTTAACAGTCAATCAGCAATTAGTCAAATCCAGCCTTAATAATAAAGGGCCATGGTTTTCATCCGTTAGGTCAGAGGTCTGCATACTTGGCTTTGTTGTTGCTCACTTAATATATTTAATGGGTTTGTGGCCCTTTTTTTTCTGTAAGAACACTGGCACAAAGGTAAATTTTGTTTAGAAATGCCAGTTAAGTTGTTTCCAGCACTTTTGGATATTTAGGCACATTTCAAGATCTGCAGTTCAATATTCAGTCATGCAGAGATTAGGAGTCTGTAGCTGCAGCAACACTTAAGAGTGGGAGGTATGCACCACTACGCTCCACAGAGCTGAAGAAAAATACACCATTGTTGGCAAAATTTATAGAATCTTGGGTACAACTTTTAAAGGCTTGTGTGAACATTGGGGGCTTAGACCACATTTAACACAAAAATAGACTGTGATCAAATTCGGGATTTTAAGTCCTATTCAATTGAGCACAAAGGTTTACTGCCTTGATGAGAGCAGGACTACATTTATCTACCTTTAGTGTTGTTGCAATTTAATTAGATGTCCTGCATTTTGTGTTTCTTGAAAGAGAGAAACTTAACAAGACTGGGTTTAAAGTTTCCTGCAATAAAAACATTTCCCAAATTCCGTTCTTTCATTCATGGTAATTTGCAGTCTTGTTTTATTTTAATCAGTTTTACCTGAATCCCTCATGTGCTTCACAGAATGAGCATCACAAGCTGGCACAAAATCAGGCAGACGGAATTGCCGTTCAGTGCTCATAAAGAACTAATATGGTTTCAATGCATAGATGCCGATCATGGCAGTTATAAAAACTTATTTTATGGAATCTACAAAAGAGTCATCATTCTTTGCATATCAAGTCCTTGTAGGAAACAGCCAGTTACTCCTACTAGGCCCACATTAAATGGATATATAAACATCCCTCACCCAGGTCAAACCATCCAAAATCCACACAGTGTGCTACAGCCATATCTAATGGTGACCTAAAATTTCTATACCAAGATTTTGATTTAAGACCATCTTCAGATGACTCGCTTAATTTCAATCTAGTTATTTCATTTTATGTAGCTCAATTGTACTTTGAGGACCCCAGCAGTCATTACGTTGGCAACATAAGGGAGTGCCTAATAAAAACCATCTCAAATATATAATATAATGCTGGCACCAATAAGTAAATACTAGGCATACGCCTATTTAGATGGAACATTTTGGACTTTGTTTAAACCTCGGTGCTTTGCCGTTAAGGGTTTCATGATTAATGACTCTTTCAAGACTGATTTTCTACACACACACAAAAAAATAAACAATGTAAAAACTTAAAAGTACTTCCATTAGAACGGAATAACAATGCCATTAAAAAAAGAAAATACGGAGACAAATGCAAGTATATTATAAACAAAAACTTTAATCAGAAGTATAAACAATAGCAAATGACAAAAGTTAAGGAATTGAGATTAAAGAGTCCAGAATGTCCCAGTGGGAAAGCCTGTCATCCAACAGGATCTGGATCATCTCCTCAGCGCCTGCTGATCTTCTCTCTCAGGCCTTCAGGCTTCAACACAGGAGGCTCCTGGTTCTCTGGCCTTTCTGATGGAACCATGGCCACAGACAGAGTAGACAGGACTGTTTACTTGGACCTCTGCCTCATCTTTCTTCTTTTACGCTTCAGCCTGAAGGTACAGCCAAAACATAGTTCATTAAAATATCCTAAAATGTATTATTAAGCTTTATCATGAGTCCAACCAGGATACAACCCTCACCTGCGCATGCGCTTCTTTCTCCACTGCAAAGAGCACGTTTATAATTGTCAGTTTATCATTAAGCATTGACATATAACACAATTATTTTGAATTAAAATGCATGAAATTGTTATTAGTTTTAAAAGGGTATAATCTGATATCTTCATACAAAGGGGAAAACGTTGCCTAACTCAATATGGCTAACGTCGGCTATGGTGGCAACATTTCAAATAAACTTATCGCACAATAGAAGAAACAAACACCAACCTTAGCTCTCATCTCGAAGAGTGAAGGCTGAAAGTAAAATAAAAAACATTAAAGAATGCTTTTATGTAAATTATAAACACATGGATTCCAGTGGATTCTGGTAGAGACTTCATACTCACCGAAAGCTAAGGAACCGTCTCCACCTCTGACGTTGTATTATGGCGACACTTTATTTATAAGACATGTGACGTCTACTATGCGCGACGAAATTGAGGAGATTTAAAGGAGCAGCAGGGGGAAATGTTTTGTATAGTTTTTTTTTTTGTTTATTACTGTTGACACAGACACACCCACATATATATATATATATGTATATATACTTTATTTGGCAAATTTGAATTTCATTGCAACCGTTTTTAGAGGGGGAATCATAATCTTACAGTTATACATCCACTGAACACTGTAATAGCTTGGACACTTTTAAAAACACACAACTTTTCCTGATCCCAGATCTACTCCAATTCCTGTTAGCCCTGACAATTGTCTTTGAAGGCCTAATATAGACTGTAAACTATAACAAATAGTATGTATTGTAAAAAAAAAAAAAAAAAGATACATATGCACAGAACAATCACAGTCTATGGGATGGTTCCTCTAGGGGGGTTACTTCCTGAGTTGTTGCTGAGAAGTTATCTCTAACAAACAGTGTACATGTACGGTAAAGACCACCTCAGGTCCGTAGAAAGGATGGTCACTCAGGATCAAGTGTCAATATGGCTTAACAATGTCTGCATGCTGCAGACAAACCACACACTGTTTCCTTTAACAAGTTTCTGGTTTAATTATAAAAGAATATTTGACATCTGATCTTATCAAAATTTGTAATTCTTTTACATCTGTTGCTGCAATGATTTTCCCTACTTTTCCACGGTTGGCATAATTTTCCATGATCCTATGATCCCTCCCAATGAATGACATACTGCAGTCAAGCAGTCTTCAATCTATGAAACGTTCACAATATTGCAAAGTTGATAGTTATGTGGAGCTCTAATTGCAATTGGTCAACAAAAGCAGAAGTGGTTACAGGACATAAGCAAATGTGTTGGCAACAAGAAAAAAAAAACAAACACAAAAACATGTTACTAAACCCTACAAGAGTACTAAAGAAACCCTCACCCCAAAAAACAGCTAATAAACACCTAAAAACAGAAGTAAAATTTACATAATGTAGCACTGGACAAAGCCAGAAATATAAACAAACCAGTTGATGGCTGATGCAGCAATTAATTATCGTAATATATATAATTTAATGAAGACTCCAAATATTCCTATTTCCTAATTACCTTGATTCCAAAGAGAACACTTGCCAAAAGAAAAGAAGCACAAGATTGGTGTCAGGTGGTTCTTTATTGTTTTCCAAAAATAGTCTCTGAAACTTGGATTTACAAAACAGCCATAATTTGAACAGATGTAAAAACAGACGACCTTACAGTTGCACCAGAGAACCGACTGCTGAAACTTTGCCCACAATGAAGGAAAACTGTTGCATCACTCAAATGACAAGTCTCGATGTGTCAGTTTTAAAAATGGATGACCTAATTGATGGTAGTGTAAATGCTGTAATTCCGCTTAATTCATCAGAAACTAAAGCTGTAATAAAATGTTTATTTCATTGACTTTATCCACAAGTTATCACTCCTTGTAAAGATATGGATTCACCTGTAATCCCCTGAATGCATGATGATCTATATTCTTGCTCAAACTTATTTACCACATTTTTCACTATTGCTATGGTGCAAAATTGATATAGCAAGCTGGGAAAGCTAACCAGTTGCGTATATTTGCATGTGTTTCACTGTTTCAACTCCGCCGAGAGCATTTCTGGAGAAAATGTGTCTTTCAGGGAGCAAAACCAGAAACAAAGGAGGCAGATCCTCAAACTACGCTTCTGGTTTTTGTTGAAACTCATGCGGATGACGGTTCTAGTATGTAAAAAATAAAATAAAATAAGTTTTTCTAGAATGACTGGTTCTCAATGTCATGCTGTGTGGTTTTGTTGGGAGTGACAGAATTCAGGAGGAGCTTTCTCCCAGACTAACATCAGAGGTATTGACAGCAGCTAAGCCCTCCAGTCCCTCAGAGAGCCGGGACAGAAAGAATCGTGACGTCTGTTCTTTGGGTCATCAGGTTTCTGTCTCCGTTGTTTTGAAATTTACTCGGCAGCTTCAGTCTCCATTGCTTGTCCTGTTGCATCCTCTACAGTCTTTGAAGCCTGCCATAAGAGATAAAATTAGGTCTGAGAAAAAGTTCTAGAAAGCATTTTCAAAAAACAGGTCAGAGCTTCACCTTCTTTTTCTTCTTTTTCTGAGTCTTGCGACTTGCAGAGCTCTGGAGCAAAGCCTTTATAAAGAAACACCAACAGACATAAGTATAAGAGCAACAAACATCTGAAAACACAAGTTTTTAAAATCACATCCGTGAAAGGGGTCAAACCTTCAGCTCTGGATCCTCCACATCGTGCTCAGACTTGTAGAGCTCAGGCTCGTAGAGGCTGCTGGTGATCCGCAGAGGTCCGTTGGCCATGAGCAGCACAGTGAACTTAAACTGGGCCACAAACTCCCCTGAGCAAAGATGGGATGAAGATCAAAGATGGTGAGGAATAGTTTCTACACATGGCAAAAATCCAGACGTTTTCACATTCTAATTTCCAAAAGATATCATAAAATCCTTCTTTTTGAATTATGAACACAAAAAGTTCAAATGAGCTAGGCTCCGATATTTATTCTGCGGACAGACTTTTTGTTTTTTTACATAAAAATAATAAGAAAAAAAAGATGGAGATGAAAAATAAGGAAAACGTGAATAAAAAAAATAAATAAAAGAAGATAAATGAACACAAGGAAATGAATGAGTGGATAATTAAGTCAGTAGCATGGATGAACATACAAGAGAAAAGATGGATGGACAGATGGGTAGATGGATGAATGGATAGACTGAGTGGGTGGAGACGGATGGATGGATCTATAACAATTGATGGGAAACTAATACTCTAATAACTCTTTCTATACGTATTTAAACCTGGACAATAACAAATCATTAGGTTCTTTAAAGGAATAGTACACCCAAAACATGGGTGTACTATTCCTTTAAGGGCTGGGCAATTCATTGCATTTTCAAAATAATCACAATTTACAAAACGCAATTGTTATATCCTAGAAGCACACAGTTGTGTTCACATTACATTTAACAAGAGTATGACACCCAGTTTTCTAACTCCAGTCCTTTAGATGGCTGTAATATTCTTAAAGTGGCTCATATGAGGGAAGAGAGAGTAGAAGAAACCACTTTCCCACAAAACATTAACAGTAAAGTCCTGCCACAATGGACTCTGGACAAGCAAGCTTATAAGGCAAGGAGACAAGAAAGCCTAGAGTGAAAAATCTACATACTTAGGGTGAGTGAAAAAAAAAATTAAATGGCAACATTTGTAGGGAAAAAATTAAACTAAAATCGAAATTTTGATTTTCAGCAAAACTGTTCAGCCCTAATGATCTAGATTACGGCTGATGTAAGTCTAACCGATCTCCAAAGTGTTGGCAGTCTCATCCAATATTGCTTTTTCTTTCCCCATTCAAAGACATGCATGCATCAGTCGATGAAGATGCAAGGAAAAATAATAATATCTGTCAGCTGGTGTTTGAATGGATAAATGAATGATTAACCCTTTGTGATTCCACCAAGTAAACCAGCAATGTCAACCTGAAAAGATCTAATCAAGTATCTGTGTGTTTTAGGATATTCTGTGTTTGCCAACATCAGTGCAGTTTCTCTTTTCCATTCCAACGGTGAGAATGGCAATAACTAATGATTTCAGCCCTACTGGGAGATCAGCAGTTTAACCCGACTCTGCTTTAATTCAATTAACTGTCTCGCCTCAGCGGAACTCATTTCTGTCCCATTTCCTTTCCCAGCAGCTGCTGGGCGTCACCAGTCTCATCGTTTCACTCACCTTCCTTCTCGTTCAGCACAGCGAACGGCTGCAGCAGCTCGTGTTTGGCGCACTCCACCACCCCCAGCCTGGCCTTGCCTTCATCCTCGAATGCTCTGAGCAAGCAGAAAGATCAGAAGACATTAATGCACAAAAGTGAATGACTGTGGAAACAAGACGGATGAGGATAAAAGACGTTACCTCAAAGTGAAAGGCATGGTGTCGAATCGCCTCTCCATCTCGCTGAAGAACGTGCGGGATGTTTTCATCTTCAACCCGTAAACCTTGTTGGGGTCTCGCTTGTAAACAGTGGTCCTCTGGCCGCCGTCCTTCGCCTGCATAATCAAACACAATTCCTTAATTTTTTAGTATTTAAAAATAATTAATAAAAATGTAGCTGTAGCAGAATGATCCACACCTTTCCCTCCCCGGTGCTGATCAGCACATCCACTGCATACACCTCATGCACCTCGAACTCAGCCTTCTCGTGGTCCTTTCTGTAAAGAGAAATCATAATGGAATGAAATCACAATGGAATTAATTCATAACGGAACCAACCTACAGGACGGGGGATAGCTGACAAAGCTCACCTCTGCTGGTCCGTTGGGTTCTGAATGATGGTTTTCTCCCCATCGATCATGTGCTGCTTCAGCTGATGAGACAGCATGCCTGTAGACGTTGAAGGAATAAAATGAGCCTAATGCCATGATAACTGCCTGAAACAGATTGGCTGGTTTTCATAAGCACCCACCTTCGATTGGGGAACATTTGAACGACTTGGCGATCTTGTTCCAGGCTTCTGTAACCTGTGTGTTCTGAAGGAGAGGATCCAGTCAGGAGTGTTAGTGGCGCTCCAATAGCCATCTTTATGTTATTTACGTAAAAGTATTCACACCCCTATAAACATCCTTGCATTTTCTCATTATAAAACTACATATTTCAAACTCTTCCACAGGGATTCTTTTCTAGTATACCATCATAAAGTAGAGCATAAATATAAAGTTAAAGATGAATGGCTTTGAACAACTTTAACATACAAACCTGGAACTTTTTTAATTTACCAGAAGAGTCAATACAAAGTGGAAAAACTACAAAAAATATTAGTAAAGTTATGGCTGCCAAAGTTTAAAACAGAGGTGAAAGAGAGAACAGGAGATTGTAGAGGAGTGAACTCATTAGCGGGTGGAAGAGACTCAATTGGATAAAGTTATGGAAAAAGCTGCATTGCTTAACACTT